TTTTCATTTTTTTTTTTTTTTTTTTTTTTTTTTTTTTTTTTTGTCTTTTGTCTTTTTTTCCGTGTCCGGCAACGGATCGCAACCCTCAGTGTTGCCCCCGTACCGGACCGGGGACCGGCAACGGGATCGCAAGCCTCGGTGTTGCTCCCGCGCCTCGCTCAGCCAGTGAGCGGGAGCCGGTCTGTATGTGGGATCCGAACCCTCGGACGGGAGCACTGCCGCGCTTCCCAAGCGGCGCACCATCCAGTGCGCCACCGGGCCGGCCCTGACTACTTACATATTGTTCTCATCCTATGGCACTGTAATTACAGATTTACATGCTTGTCTCTTCTTCTAGACGGTGACTCCTTGAAAGTAGGTATTATCTGTGGGTACCTAGCCTGGTTCCTAGCAAACAGTAGGTTCTCAATGCATGTGTGTTGAGTCAATGAATGAATGAATGAATGAATGGGTACTGCCAAAATCAGTGGTCTGTGCAAAGGGGAGGAAGGCTGGCTTGTATATGAGGAGAGGGGAGGGGGGAGAAGAGAGAGCATTCCCAGCTATGGAACCAGCTTGAGCAAAGGCTGGTTGTGGTCAAAGGGCCTGTTGTGCCAAGGACAAGCTGTGTAACCTCCATCTGTAAAAATGGAGGTGATCAGAATATCTTCCTTTTTGGGCCACTGTGAGGATTAGATAAGACCAAGCACATGAGTGCTAGATACAGTGCCTATCCCAAGAAAGCACTTGATACTTGTCAACTAAAAGTAACAGTATTGCTAAAAAGGACTTAATTTCCCCCCTCTACCTATTGGCCCATTTCTCTGCTTCTTGTCACAGAGAAACTTCTGAAAAGGGTTGTCACAGTTTCCAATTCCTTATTTCCCATTTTCTTCTCAACCCAATCCACACGGGCTTCCATCCTGAACACGGCACTGAAGGCACCCTCATCGAGGTCACCAGTTGACTTTTATCCTACCAAACCCAGCGGTCATTTTTCTGTTCTCATCTCATGTGACCTCTCAGCTGCATTCAACACAGACAGCCACATCCTCCTTCTGGAAACAGTGTCTTCTCTTAGATTCCAGGATACCACCCTCCCTGGGCTTCTTCCTCTATGTCAAACTGTTTCTGTGTCTCCTCTGCTGGCTTCACTTCTAGGTGTCCAAGCACCTCAGGGCTTCTTTCTTGGGGCCCTTCTTTCTCCTGGTGTTTCATCCAATCCTGTAGCTTTAAATACCATCCAGATGACCACGACTCCTGACTTGATATGTACTACCCTAGACTGAGCTAGTCTACCATGTCCAGCCATCTATTTGTGGAATTCACTTTATTATCATTCATCCACTTGTTTATTTCAGACATCTCAAAGTTAATTTAAAAAAAAATTTTTTTTTTTATAAAAGATGACCGGTAAGGGGATCTCAACCCTTGGCTTGGTGTTGTCAACACCACGCTCAGCTAGTGAGCGAACCGGCCATCCCTATATAGGATCCGAACCCGTGGCCTTGGTGTTATCAGCACCACACTACCCGAGTGAGCCACTGGCCGGCCCTCAAAGTTAATTATTAATTTACATACCTCCCAACCTATTTCTTCCCTGGTCAACCCCCTCTTGGGAAATGACGTTATTCCCAGAGATATCCGACTTAAAAATCTCAAAGTCATTCGTGATTCCTCCCTTTCTCTTATTCTTCACATCCATCCCACAAGCGAGCCCCACCTTTAGGCCACATGCTGAATCCATCTACTTCTCTCCGTCTCTGTGGCCAGACCCCTAGACTGAGCCACCCTCACGGCTTGCCTCCTGGCCTATCACAGTGGAAGGACATTCCAGATGAGGGAACAGTATCTGCAAAGTCCACAAGAGGCACACTGCGGGGAGCAGGATGTCAGCTCACTGAGCATGGAGAATACGTAAGGGTGTGTAGGAAACCGAGGTTGAGACCAGACAGTGGACAGGCTGGTAGCCAAGCAGAGAAGCAATGGAGAAATGAAAGTGGGGTTTAGCGGCACTGAGCTTGGCAGCATACGTGGGACAGAGTGGAGGGCTGGGGAGAGTGTGGGGTGAGGAAGAGGCAACAGGCTGGGTTTGAGGTTCTGAGGTTGTGCTGCTGAGGTAAGGGGTGGGGTAGGAATGGAAAAGATGAGCGGAAACTAGAAACATTTTGGGGAAAAATGATCAGGGCATAAAAGCTCACGGAACATGGAGGGGAAAGGAGAGGAAAGAAGCAAAGTGTTTCTTGGAGAAGAGTGAGGGCTGAACGAGAAAGCTGGGACTTGGTAGGGGAGCCAGCCTGGATTCTGGGGAGGGACAGAGGTCTTCCTGGGCTCCCATGCTTGGGTCACAGACAGAACCAAGCCCTAAGGACTTACACGAAGTGGCTTCTGGGGTTCCGAGGCTGAAAGCGGAGAGGGTTGGGAAATCAAAGGTTTTGAGGGGCCCCTTTCCTAGGAGGACAGTGGTGTGGGAGATCAGGGGAGAGCTCAGAGGTGGGGACGGGGTCTCACCTGCCTGCGCTCCATCCTGTCCCGGTCGTGGGTGAACTGTAAGAAACAGGAAAGGGTTGATGAGTCCTGCCCTGCCCCTCAGCCACCCCTCCTCCCCAGGCATGGATCACCCATCTCCCACCTTCATAGTGGGCTGCAATCGCTCTGCGAGCCCGTGTTTTCCGGCCCTTAGGTGCTGAGAACAAAGGAAAGACAGATAAGCAAAGCAGGTCCCTCTTGGGGTCCCAGGAGCTACCACCCCCAGCCCCGTTCCCCTCTCAGGACCCTGGCATTCTTGATCTTGTCCAGACTCCTGGCCTCAGAACATCAGGCCTCATCTTTCTCCATAAGTAGAGTGACTATATCATCCAAATTGGGATACTTCTGAGAGCAAAAAGGGGGAGCTATTAATAATCAAACTGAGATAACAGGTGTAAGGCAGGACAAACCTGGACACATGGTCATATGTTCATCCCACTCGTAAGTCTCTTTGCTTATTGGGGCCCAGGCCTCTGACTCCCCCACCTTGGCCCCAGCAGGACTTCAGGGGTCCTCCTAATTCCTGGCCTCCCCCCTTCATATTTAGGGCTGGCTGGTTAGCTCACTTGGTTAGAGCACAGTGCTCCCGCACCAGCCAGCCACCAAAAAAAAAAAAAAAAAGGAAAAACAAGAAGATATTTAGGGTAAGGTCTGAAGTAAGAAGCAGTTGCATATTATGGAAGGTGCTTCAGAGGGAAGGGCAAGATTCCTAGGTTTGAGTTGCAAGTGGTCAGCTGCATAACTCTGAACCTCCCTTCGCTCTCTGTGCCTCAGTTTCTCCATGAGAATAATGGTTTTGGCTCTGCCTGAGTCACGGGGCTGTTATGATAAACAAAACAGATGAGTCCAGAAGCCATGGACTGGCCACTATCACTATTCCTGAGGTTGGGATGGAGGGATGCTCACCACTTCTGCGAGGCCGAACTAGCTGTTTCAGGAAAGGCACGGGATCCTGGCTTTCCTCTGTCTTGGGACTCAGTTCCTAGGGGAATTAAGGGTAGGGCTCAACTAGGGACTCCCACAGAGGTAAACTGAGACCAACGGGGTCTGTCAGGAGAGCCACCAGCCACCAATAGGCACAGAAGTCATAGGGACAGATCAAGCCCCTCAGCCAAGTATGGCTGGGGCCAAGGGGAAGGCAAGGTGTTGGAGTCATGCCCTGTCCTCTCCCCTTTCCCCAGACCAGCCACACCTTCATCTCCACCCCCAGAAACCGGCACAGACCCATACTCAGCTGGCACGTTGCATTACACTCGCAGCCACTCAGCGAGCACGGTGGGTACACATCCCGCACACACAGCAGCATCCCTCCTCCAGGGCAGGCTCGCGTGTCTCACACTCCCCGTCGCCCACAGCCAATAAACATTTCGCACTCGGGTGGCACAACCCCTGCACAAACCCCTTCCACACAGTTGTCACCCTCTCTCTCACACACACCCACGCACGGTTGGTGCAGCCCCCGCCACACACGCGGGACACACACCCATGCACGCACCGACTTCACGCACACAGCTGGCGACGCCGCCGGCACACACCCTGCAGCCTCCGCGGCCACACTTCCCCTGCCCAGCAGCCGGCAGACCGCGCCCTCCGCCACTCACCGGCGCGTCCTGGTCCTCCTCTGCCACCAGCTCCCCCTGGGAAGGCTCCTGCTGGGAAGGAGGCAGCGTCACCCCGTCCTTCTCCACCTGACATCTCGCCCTCCACCCATCCTCCGGTCCCCTCGCCCTCGGCCCACCCGGCCCCCGGCGGCTCCTCTGCAGTCTCCGCTCCCAGTGTGCCCAGGGAGGGGTGCGCAGCGGGGGCCTCACCTGGGCAGACGGCGATGCCCGGCTCCCCAGGCTGACCACGGCCAGCAGGAGGCCAAGGCAGGCCAGCGCCAGGCCCAGGCCCAGCACGAGCGGGGCCAGCAGGGCGGTGCCCGGCTCCCCCCGGCGCCCCCTCCGCCTCTGGCTCCGACGGGCGGCCATGGGGGCGGGGGGCTGTGCCTGCCTCACCGCCCCCCCATCCCGGGACCCGAGGGATCGGGGGAGGGGGAGCGGGCGGGCGGATCGGGCCGGCGAGAGGGAGGGGCGAGGGAAACGGGGCGGGAGCGGGGGACGAGGACAGGAAGCCGGACACTGTCTGCGTGTGACTGAACTCCGAGCCGCGCCGCCGAGCGCTGCGCAGGGGCCGCGGGCGCCCACCG